GGGTGGTTACCCACTCTGTTGGCTGAAACAGGCAGCAAACTGCAGATGGGGCCAGGCAATGTTTTCAGTTGGACAGCGTCTTTGCCAGAGAAGGATGACGTTTGTGTTTACCCAAACTATTTGCAAATCCACCCAGAAATTTAAGAATCCTTCTGGAAATTCTCTTTTTCTTTTTTTTTTTTTCTTTTTCCAAATACTGAATTGTCTCATTTCAGCCTTTAGGAGGCAAAACAACACAATTTCTCACTTCGTAATGAAGTTTTATTCATCAGTTTGCTTATACTTAATTTTAAAAATCCTCCGTCCATTTTGCTCAAACCACAGGACTCTTACAAAAAGTCCTGCAGTTCAAGTAGCAAAGCAGGGAGCAGCTGCTCACCCATGGTGTGGTGCGGCATCCACCCTCTGCCCGATTCCCACTTGCAGGGTCGCAGCAATCATAGGCATAAGCCTTCTTCCTCGCCTGCTGAGGGAGCCTGATTTAAGCTGATTGACAGCCCATGTCTGGTCTGAGCCCCCTCCTTGTTCCTGCAACCCAGTGACTGCAAAGGCACAAGATGAGGCCAGTTTGGGCCACCCTATTCTCCTGTGCAGGTGTCCCATCTCACTCCCTGGGAAATAACCAGGCCAGCAATTCTTCACCCTGCTGCTAACCAGACAGAAAAACCTTGGTACACGCTCCCAGAAGAGGATCTGGGCAATAAATCAACACGCGCAGTTTTGCTTCACTTACAGTTGCAAGATGGGCAAGGACTGGCTGGGTGAGGAGCAGGGATATAAGGAGCACTTTAGCTCTAGGTCACTAGTTCAGTACGTGGCCAGGTTGTGAGTGGTAGGATTTCCAGATTGGCAGGTGATCTCCTTTCATTTCTCTGGGGTGCTTGCTAGGAAACCTCTCATTTCAGTGGTTGCTTGAGGCCATTAAAAGGAGAGGCCAAAGGCTGAGCAGATCTTGGAGAGCAAATCTGCACCGTGGCAGAGCTGCCTAGAAAAAACCATTCCTCTTGCTGGTGCTGTCCCACTTGCATCTGCCATGACTGCCACACCGGGATGCCTGCACTGAAATTACCTGCCCCAGCCATGCCTGAGCCTCCCTCCATGCAGTGCCCAGAGGAGCTGCTACAGTAGCACACACTCAGACTGCCTTTTTCCCCTCCCTTTCTTTTTAAAATGCATGATCAGCTCCTGACACCTTCACACAGCTATTACTCCTTCTCCAGATCAAACTCCAGCTGCCTCCAGTGTAAGACTGGAGAATTCATGGAAAGAAAAGTATTAGACATTCTCTCGTATTTGGCCAGCTTTGCTTCAAAGTGACGCCCAGGCACACTGAATATTGTCCTATGCACACCTGCATCCAGGCCAGCTCTGCACGGGGATCTATGCCATCTATTTATTTCATGAGCTGTCATACCCTGGAAAAAAGTGTCAGTTCTAAATGATTCTGATCACTTTTGCACGTCCAAATTCAATATCTCAACTATAAATCCTGCTTACACCCTGGCA